GAAAGCCCCCATGGTCGCAGCATCGTCTCCCCCAGTGTCTAACAGGCCTCCCAGCTGCGGGCCCTGACCGTCGGACCCCATGAGGTCACCTCCCTGGGCACGAAAAGGCCTCCAGTCCTGGCTTCTTTCAGACACCCCTCCTTGCCCACCCCCTGGTGCCAATCCCAGCGAGCCCTGATTGCACAGCAGGCAGATGCCAGCCCGTGTCTGCCTCCTGGATCTCGCTGGGTCCCAGCATCCCCTGCTTCTGTGGCCCCAGGGGGTCTCTCCCAAAGCACAGTGCCCCCAGGGAGGTGGGGGAGGAACATGTCCCCGCTAGAGCCATGATTTAAAAAAAAAAAAGAAAGCCCACGAGATCAGTGACATCCGCTGGGAAACAGACATCGCAGGTGCCTTGCAAGAGAGCAAACATGGTTGCTTTCCCCTTGAGGTAGCAAAGAAAAACAGAAGTGGGAGTTTTGGAAAGGATTGGACAAGATGCTGGGTGGGGGGCGGCGTGGGGGCGGTAAGCAAAGCATAGACTGGCACAAAGTGGTATTTTAGACGTGCCTTCTTTGTGTCCTTTCAACCCCGAATATCTTAGTGTTCTGCCACTGCTCAGAGCTGCAGCAACAGAAGCGGGCCTGGCTACTTAGGAAATTTCTCTGAGGGCCGCCACCCCCACTCCGCACAAGTACACAGGTCCCTAAATGAGCATTTCCCAAACTGGGTTCCCTGAGGCACTCTGTAGAAACATGATTTTGAGGTCAACGGAATTGAGGACACACTGCCTCCCCATCATCCTCCTCCACGGTCCTGCCCCTCTTTAGAACACCCCAGGGCTCTGACAAGTCCCACAGTAAAGGCCCCGGCTGAATTTGGTTTCTGCTTATCCTTTTCCAAACTTTACTTGCATCAGGAAGACTTTTTCTTTTTCTTTCTTTCTTTTTTTTTTACAGCTTCAGAGTAAAATCCTGCCAATGCCACTCTGAAAAATACTGCTTTTAATTTTCCCAAAGGTGCGTCCCTTCCCCCCGGTTCTGGTTTCCAGGGCTGTGGGGGCTGTGGGGGCTTGGCCCCTTTCAAGCACTGCCCCAGCAACCCCTGCCTGGGGGCGAATCTCTCTCAGTCTCCAAGCAGCCTAGAAGCAACACGCTCCACGCAGGGGGGCGTGTTTGAGGGGACACCCGACCTGGGGAGGGTTTCCAACACCCAGCCTGGAGCAGGGGCCCTGGTCACCCGCTCTGGCTCACACACGATGTCTGGCAGCTCATGCCCACCATATTCACCACTCCTCGAAAAGGGGCCTGGGTTCCATCCTGGGGAGGTTCTGGGGGGCCTCTCCCCTATCCCCCCATCTGGAGCTCCCCCAACCTCTGCACAGCTCTCCGAGTGCTGAGATATAACACACCGGCACAATAAACCTTTATCCTGGCCTGAGTCTCACTGGTTTTTGGGGGGAGGGGTGTAAGACTGATGGGGAAGGCGCCCTTGGGGGTGGGGCAACTTTCTGGGGGAGACTGACAGCCAGGCCCAGGGAGAGGGAAGGGGGGAGATGGGGCTTCACCGGGATGTGGCGGGAGCTGGTGTTCCCTAAGGGGGCGCTGGCTCTGGGCTTGTGGCCACACCACCCAGGCTCCACACCCAGCTCTGCTACTGACTGTGGCCATGACAGACCGCCCCCCCGTGGGTGATAGAAGCAGCGCCCACCCCCGGCAGGGTGGCTGAGGATTGGGATGGGTCTCACGGGCAGCGCCATGTGCACACATCCTTGGTCAGAATTCGAGGCGGGAGACAGCCCCAGCCCTCTGGCCACCCCTGCCTCTCTCTGTCTCCCCGCCTGCGCCTGCCTGCCTCCTTCTCGCCTTTGATGGCAAGTTCCTGGGGCGACAGCTCCCCCTCCGCCCTGGGCCCTGGGGGCTGCCAGCTGGAATCCAGATGTGACTAGGGCTGGGAGCACGTGCAAGATCCCAGGTCGGGTGTGTGGCGGGTGGGGGGAAGGGAGGCCTTCCTGGCAGCCCCTCCCCTCCACCAGCCAGGGGCCAGAGCTTGGGTTTCATAACACACAATGGCCTCTGTCTCACTCAGTGGGGATGGGCCCTCCCTTTTTCGGCCCAGCCAGGCCTGCCACGGAGATCCGGAGAGTCGAAGATGAATGCCTGTGTGCTGTGTGGCTCTGACCAAGTCACTTGGCCTTTCTGGGTGTCGTGGGCTGGGCTGTCTTCTTGCTCCCGAGCTCCTGGGGCATCTCAGCTCTGAGACATGGCTGGGAAGTGCATGAAGCTTCCCTGTGACACACAGAAGCCAGCAAGACAGAAGCGGATGCTGGAGACTCTTGGGGAGCCGCTGGGGTGAGTTTCCCAATTAGCAGCCCCTGCAAATGCTCAGGGGGGCCTTGAGGACATGGAGTGTGGCCCCCAACACTGGTGGAGGTGGATGAAGGAGGTGGCCTGGGCACCTGTGCAGGAGCCAACCTCTCCCTCACCTCTAAGCTGTGACAGCTGCCACTGACACTCTTCCACCCCTTGCACCGCTCGCTGCCTCACGAACTCCCCCTCATCTTTTAGCTTCCAGTCCAGATGTCCCCTCCTCCTGGGAGCCTTCCCTGATTGCCCCCACCCAACCTCCCTCCCACAGTGTCCTGGGCTCATTAATAATAATAGCTCACAATTCATGACCCCCTGTTACATGTCAGGTCCTGCTCTAAGCACTCGCATTGTTAACTTGCTGAGACGCGCAACCCTATGAGGTGGACACTGTCTTTATTCCCATGGCACAAATGAGGAAACTGAGGCCCACGGAAGTGACGTCGATGGCCCCGGTCACACAGCCAGGGTTCCAGCCCAGTGGTCTGACTCCAGCATCTGAGTCTTCCACTGGGCTCTACTGCTTCTTTGAAGAATGAATGAATGGATGGGTAAATCCCCTGGCAAAGGGACAGCAGGGCTCCACTCCCACTTAGAGCCCTTTCAACCTGCTCCCACACTGCACTGGGGTTGGTTACCTGCAAAGGGCATGTTACAGGCACCACGTCTGGCTGGATTCCAGGAGACGGTGAGCCTTACTGGGGACAAGGATTAGGGGGACGTGGGTCGGGCGGGGGGAGAACCGGACTTGAAGCTGGGGAGAGGGCTCTGCTGTTCCCAGGGGCCCAGAAATCTTCCAGGCCTAACAGGATCCCATGGCCCCAGGGCTTGTGAAACTTTACAGCTGGCCCACCCTGCAAATGTGTTGCTGGGCCAAGTCTGTTGTCACTGCAAGGGAGGAAGGAGCAGGGAGCGAAAGTACCCGAGACACAAACCCGGTTGTGTGGAAATGGAATTCTGGCCACCTGTAGTGGGGCTGCAGGTGTTGCCAAAGTGCCGCAGGGTAGCGGGGGGCCCTTCCCTGTCCCCAGCTCAGCTCCTATCGGCCCAAGGGGCTGGGTGGTGGTCACTGGCTGGGATCAAGGCCAAGGTGAGAGCGGAGCCAGGCAGAAGGCACGTCTGCACCGGGTATCTCCTCTTCAGCACTCTCGTGGTGTTCAGGGTGTCTGCGTCCTGCTGTTAGACCGGGTTCAGCCCCAGCTCCACCCTTTCTTAGCTGTGTGGCCTTGGGCGAGTCGCCGCCCATCTCTGGCTTCGATTTCCGTGTGTGTAGGGGCGATCCCACATGGCAGGGGTCTCCGCCCTGCACGTTGGGATGACCTGGAAGTTTAAAAAAATACTGGCCCCCAGGCCCATCCCAGACCAATGAAGTCTCAGGATACAGCCGGGCAGTTGTCGCTGCAAGACACAAAGTCCGCAGGAGAGGGGCCTGGGGGTCAGTTCGCCGCTGCCTCCCCAGCGCTCAGCACGGTGCCTGGCACACAGGAGGGGTTCCCTGCAGGTGGACACATGGGTGTGTTAGGCTAGAGGAAAGTAGCTGCACCAGCATGTCCACAACCACATGGAACCCTTACCACACTCCCTGCAGGGAGGTGAGCAAGAGCAGTACCCCCATTTCCCAGATGAGGACACTGAGGCTCAGAGGGGTGCAGCGACTTGCTGGAGGTCACACAGCTCCACATGGCTGGGATTCGAAACCCAGGAGCTCTTCAGCACTGAGCCTCCTGCCTCATTTTAGAACGTATCTGTGGTCCAAAGACCAGGCTCATCTGCTAACAGTGTGGTTGGGGGGAATGTGCTTATGTCCACTGCATCCCATCATGGATCCCACTTCCTTGTCTCGACCCCACTCCCTTTCCCAGGGGCACTGACTGTGGGTCAGGCCTGTCCTGGTTCTATTCACAAAGGCTTGGAATCATTGGATTTACCCTAGTTGGGACACATTCACTCTCTAGGTTCTGAAGTGGCCCAGAAGAAGGCAGTGGGTTCACGGCCTCTTTGATGTACAACTGCAATCATTTAATGAGCACCTACTATGTGCCAGGCACTTGGGGACACATTGTTAGCAAAACAGGCCCGAGGTTGTGGAAGAGATGAAAATTAACCAAAGGACCATCCAGATGCAACTATAATGATTAATAACAGGAGTAGCTGCTGTTTCTGAAAAGGCTATTATGCACGTGGCTGGGGTTTGACCAACATTTTTTTTTACAGTTTTCCTGAGGCTTAATCAACACATTAAAAATGCACATTGTGTTTGAAAACAGAGTCTCACTCGTTGCCCAGGCTGGAGTGCAGTGGCACGACCTATGGCTCATTGTCGTCTCAAACTCCTGACCTCAAGCAGTCCTCCCGTGTTGGCCTTCCAATGCGCTCGGCTTATGAGCATGAGCCACCCATCTGACCAGTGTGCATACTGAAAGCGTACAGTCGGATGATTTTTGACGTGTGTATATGCATAAAACCATCACCATGATACAGATAAAGAACGCATCATCACCTCCAGAAGTTTTTCCGTATCCCATGATAATCCCTCTTTATTCCTCCTTTCCGTCTTTCTCCCTCCCTCAGGCAGCTATTGATTTGCTTTCTGTCACTATGATTCGTTTTTATTTCTCTGGTATTTTATCTAAATGGAGTCATATCATGTGCACTCTTTTTTGGTCTGGCTTCTTTTTCTTGCATGGATATTTTGAGATTTGTTCATTTATTGTTCATGTCAGTATTTCTTTTTTTTTCTTTTTTCTTTTTTTTTTGAGTTGGAGTCTCACTCTGACGCCCAGACTGGAGTACAGTGGCCGCTCCCGGCCACCGCAGCCTCGACCTGCTGGGCTCCGGTGATCCTTCCGCCTCAGCCTTCCAAGTAGCCGGAATTACAGGCATGCGCTACCACACCCGGCTGATTTTTTGATTTATTGTAGAGATGAGGTCTCGCTGCCCAGGCGGGTCTCGAACCCGCGGGCTCAGGCAATCCACTCACCTCAGCCTCCCAAAGGCGCGGGATTACAGGCTGAGTCACCGAGCCCAGCTATTATTTCAACTCCTTTTTATTGTTGAGTAGCATTCGATTGTATGGGTGTACCAGTTTGCTTATCCACTCAATACTGATGGACATTTGGGTTGTTTCCAGTTTTTGGCTATTCCAAATAAAACCACTATGAACTACTGATGTTATTTGATTTCTTTCTAACAACCCTCTTCATGAGACGGTTACTATTTCTCCACATTCTACCGATGAGACACATGGAGACTCAGAGATGTCAAGTGACTCATCCAAGGTCACACAGCCAGTAGATGGAGCTTCAGACCTTAAACAGTGGGGACATTTGAGCAGGAGAGATTCTGGGGAACCACTAAGGTTCAGGATGTATCTGAACCAGTGGGCCCCTGTGCTGGTTCCACTCTGCAGATGCATCTGATGCGCACCGAAGGTGAAATCCTGGATGTAGACCAGCCTTTCATTTCACGTGAGGACCAGGCAGGGTCTGAGGCCAGGCAGAGTGAGGCAGGCATCCAGCCTCTGGTGGGCAGTGCTGCACGGAGTCTAGCTCTGCTTCATCCTGGCTCTTTGTCTGTTTGGGGAGAAGGATCGGACCTGTCTGGAGCGGAAAAGGGATTTGCTATTTTTTCAGGAGGTTTTAATTTCAGGATTCCTCCGGCGGCTCAGAAATGGCAGAAGGGATTTGGTGCTGGCTCCAGGGCCTGGGGGGCTCCCCACTGCTGCTCCCATTCCCCAGGGGGGGTCTAGGGTTTATGGCAGCAGCTGCAAAGTAAAAAATAGCCCTGCTTGGAAATCCGCCCTGGCCAGGGACACTGATGCCAGAGGTCCCTGTGATGTCCACCATCAATGGGGCCCTGTGGTGCACCTGGGGGTGCCCTGGGAGGCTGGAGGAGGGTCCAGGCCTAGGAAACACCTGAGGCCTCTCCCCTAGGGTTTGGAGAGCCAAACTCTGGTGGTGGGGCTAGAGGGGTTGCTCAGGGGTTGGGGATCAGAGGCAGCAAAGGGAAGGGGGAGTAGTGGGAAGCCGGGGCCATGGCCCTTGCCCTGACTTCCGTCTCTCCTCAGAAAACTATGAGGCCAAAAAACATGAATGCACTTTATAGCGGTGCAGGACAGTTAGCACAGTGGTTAGGGGTGCAGGCTTCAGATGACCTGGGTTGGAATCTCAGTTTCACCTCCTCCCAGCTGTGTGACCTTGGGCAAATCACTTAACCTCTCTGGGCCTGAGTTTTGTTTTTTTTTTTTAATCTATGACATGAGGAGAATGTACCTACCTCTGAGTGTGGGAGTTGAGTTCATTTACCTGAGGCGTTCAGAACAGCCTGCCCCCCCCATTGGTGCTCAACAAATGCAAGCTGAAGTGCCGTGCCACAGAAGAAAAAAGGGGAGACACCTATCTGCAAACACTAGGTTGTTTTAGAGTCATTTTCTTTCCAGATCTAGGTTAGAAGCTTCAGAATCATAAGATTAGTGATTCCTAGATGCTTGAAACTGCCGAGGCTGATCTTTTCTCGCGGGGCAGGGTGAGGGGCCTGGAAGTGTGGGTGAAACCAGGGCAGGGCCAGCAGCCGGAGAAGAAACACAGGCTCACGCTGCCCTCTGGGCGGCAAGAGGATCCTCTGATCCGGGCACCCCTCCTCGGGGGTCGTGTACCCGGCGGGGGTCAGGGGTCAGGCCTCAGCTGTTCCCTGTCTCCCTCTGGGGCGTGGTGTCCACAACCAGGGCTTAGACCTCGTCTGGGTCAGTTTTTGGAGACGTGGCTGGCGACATGGGTGGGGAGCTTGGAGGCTTGGGCGCATCGGGGGCAGGCGCCACTGCTATTTCTGGGGGGAAGGGGGGCCCAGCTGGGTTAATTGCCGGGTGACTGGACCATCTCCCTTCTCTGCCATGTTCCTGGAAACTTATCAGCACCGACTCTGGGTGGGAATATCCCCCAGGCACAGTGAGGGAGGAGCTGGAGGTGAGACTGGGGTTCACATCCCGGTGTGCGAATTCGGTGTGCGAATTCTGAGGCTGCGTGGACTGAGGCAGCTTCCCTCTCCCAGGGCTTCACCTGCAACACTGCAGGTCCTGACTCGCTGGGAGGCTCAGAGGAAATGCTTGTGGAAGGCTCGGCCAGGCTCAGGTGCACCAGGGTGGTTGTGCCGTCCAGGCTGCTCCCTAGGGAGCGCTCAAGAGCAGCTGCTTGGGCGGCCTGGTCCCTGAGGTGCGGTGGCTCCTCCGCTGAGCCCGACTTGTCCAGCGTGGCGCTGGAGGCCAGTCAGTGCCTCAAGGGACGCCGGGAGGCCAGCGCCCGTCCCCCCCTCAAGGCCGGCTCTCGAATGAAGAGCGGAGTGCAAGCAGGCCGTGGGGGAGTTGGACACCCGCTCTGTGCCTGCCCTAGGGGCGGTCGTGACCCGGGGGGCTCAGGGAATCCCCTCGGCTCCCAAACCTTCCACCCCTGCGATTCCCTCCCTTCTTAAGCGCCACGGCGTACCAAGCACGGTACTCGGCATTCTGTCCGTGGTGTCCTCACAAAGCCGAGGGAGAAACCAGCGGGACCCACCTGCAGGGGAAGCCACAGACAGTCAGAAAGGGGAAGTGACTTGCTCAAGGCCAAGCAGCAGAAAGTGCCCGAGGCCAGGTCGGAAACCTCCCGGGGCTGCTGGACCCTATAACCGATGCACTAACCACGACTCCATGCTAGCTGCAACCCCAGCGATGAATGAATGCATGAATGAATGAATGCGCGCATGAACGAACGGGGGGAGAGGACCAAGACCAATGTGTCCAAACTCCCGCGTGGCCCCACAGCCCGGCTGGCGGCAGCTGCTTCCTCCGGCTGCCGGGTGCCGCGTCCCTGTGTCCGCCGGGAGGAAGGGCGGCCGAGGCGGCCTTGACCGCGACCGCCGGGCGGCCCCGCCGGCTCGCCCGGAAA